GTTAGAAGACATACAGGATTGATACCAAAATGTTGTGTTCATTTTTAATGGAAAAGTATTGAACAGTGTGCATTATTGGGGAGTATCAGTTGACAATGGTTAGACACAAACAAATGTATCTCCAAATCTGTGAAACTGACTGAATTTTAACCGTCTGTGTTTGTTAAGGTCATTCAGCCGTGGCAGCCATCTTGGATCATGTTGACTCCAAAAGATAATCACTTGTAGATGTGTATCAATGATTACTTTCTGGGAATATGATCAGAAATCTGTTCTTTGGTTCATGACAAATTGAACTAATGCTACAGACAAAGAACGAGACACACGTCACACACACACACATACAGAGAGAGAGAGAGAGAGAGAGAAACCCAAGCAAAACCATTACACCCTTTCATTTTTGTCTGCTAATCAAAATTCAGAGGAATGGTACTAAAATGTTTATGTATGACATAACTTCCAGTTTGGCATCTTGATTTTAAATTGCTTTCACAAGAACTTAAAAGTCTGCAGTTTGTTATGTTATTATTTTTTCAAGGAGAAATGTTTGAACACATTTCAAAAGTTCTTTCTAAAGCCAAGGTTTCTGAAGTTTCAACAACTCCATAAGGTTCAAGTTCACTTTTAAAATGTTCTCATCAAATGAAATTATTTATATTAATTCTGATATCCCCAACCAGCACCATCTCCTTCTTGGATATGACTATTTGCTGTGATCAAACCCATGTTGTTATGGGAGTGGCTGAACCAGTCAATCGCTGACAGAAAGCAGGGGGAAACCTGTAATTCCCCTGCCCCTGACAGATGCTTTCTAAAGATATTTCTTTTAAAACTAGATTCCTCTTGAACTGAAACAACTCAGTCGACTAAACTTAGGAAATATTCTTTAAATAATTTTGGTTCTCCTTTGAGCCCTTGGTTTCTGCTTTGTGCATTGTTCCCTGTGTTTACCATCGGAGGTGAGCCAGTTGTTCTGAAGGTTGAGGGTTTCAAGCTGATGCAGATGAGAAATGTGCTCCACTGTTATTTTTCTGATCTTGTTGTTCTAGAAGAAGAGAACAAACACATGGTAAATACATGGACATGTTAAAGATCATTGTGGATGTCAGGGGGGAATTCCAGAAAGCAGCTAGTCCACCGGTGTTTAGGAAAACACTGTTTTCAGTTCCAAACAGAAAGTTAAGTGAAACTCAGAGTGCTGGGTTTCTGCCGATGCAGATGTTGGACATAAAGTGCTCATTTTTATCAGCTCGTCAAAAGGCAGATGTGTTGTGGTACAGTCTCTGCATGTACGTAAACTTTCTCTTGTCCTGCCCATAACTTCTGATCAGCCCAAAATAATTTAATATAACTTTATACACATTTACACCAAGGTCACAGATAGAGGTCAAATGTTATACAAGGTCTTTGCTTGTCCAAATCATTGCTGTACAATAGTTTGACGACGTGCTTATAATGTGGTATATGGGTGCTCTTGTTAGTCGTCTGCCGGAATCTGACGCAGAGTTTCTACATATAACCAGACATCAGGAGTGGATTTACCACCTACACTGGATTTTCTCTCATTCTCAGACTTTCTGTATTTGTTTGAACTGTATATGTTTTCATCACATTCACTCGTTTATCTCAGTAACATCCTCTGTCTGAACACTTCCAATAAATCTCCTCGTGCCTGAGCTCTCAGCAACGTCTGTTCATCACGCTGAAAAAATGTCCACAATTACCACCAAATAAAAATAAATGTCACATGCAGTTTTTTTTTTTTTAATTGCCAACAAGACTACAAAAGCAGCAGTTAGCTTAAAAAAACTAAATTCAACAATGAAGCTTTCATTCACTCTACCAGGTGTTCCAGTAAAATAACTTTTGGCTCCACTTTCCTACTTTTACAGCCCAAATACAGAATTTCCTTTTTTGTTTTTAATACTCCAACAGAGACTAATAAAACAGTAAAACTAAAATGACTCTGCTATAAAACATCTAATGTAGACTTCTTTACAAACTCATAAATAACAGTAACGTTACAAGAATAAACTGTGATTCAAAGTGTTTTTTGTAACACAAATAGTTGACTATAAAAGCAGTTTGTGGTTTTAGAATCTGATTTTACAGACACATCTACCTGAAAACATGTTTTTTCTGCAGCCAATATCAACTATTTGACTAATGGGTTTATTCAGAGGAATGTGGTCCATTTAATTTATTTGGTTACTAAAATGAATACTAAATTTTATTATTATTATTATTTTTAAAAACAGACCTGATGAATTATAGCTCTGGGACTAAAGAGCTTTGCTGAACTGTGACATAATCAAGTGCACCTCTGTTCAAACTGTGCGGCATCTTCAGTGAACATTTTTTCATAACTTGCCCAATTCTGGACTTTTTGTTGTCGTTGTTGTTTTTGTTTGTTGTTGTCATGGTGATTTGTGTTATCGACGCTCTATCGATGATGGCCTTGTATTGCACATGTGCACGCTCTCTCAGAGTATGTTAAAGCTCCTTTCTGGAATACCTCCTGGTTGCATAGCTCGTGTGTGAAGGACCTGAAGGGAAAGCTGCATGGTTTTTTCAGACAGCTCCTCTGGGAACTCTGTGAGGTCCACTCCCGCACAGTCCACTGCTTCCTCTGTGCAGCTGCAGTCCAAAGGACATTCAATCTCTGTTGCTGTTGCGTTGTCGCCATCCTTTCCCATCTCGATTTCCTGTTCTTCCTCTGGTTTGACTGGAGTCTGGCAGTTCACCAACACCAAGGCCAAGAGCATCACACTCAGGGCATGCAGGATGGAAGGCTTTAGAAGGTCCATGTCCACTGTTGATATGTCCTACTGGACAAGCACATAAGACAAGTTAGACATGGAGGAGACCTTCAGAATCAACAGATGTAGCCATATGTACATAAAAGTATAATTTTGTCAACAAACTCTCAAAGCTCAGTTTATTTTTTATATTATTTGTTGAGAATTAATTTCAGCTACCCCTTTACCAAATGCTCCAAAAACAACTCAGGTGTAGCTTTCTGCGAGATTTACTCCAATCTGACCAGTGGTTCATGAAATATTTTATTAACAGACAACAGTTAACAAGATTAGCTAATGGCAAAGTTTTAGAAGCAGATGGTAATGCAATATGAGTTAGTGCTCAAACTATTTGCAGGAGCTGCTTACTAATATACTAAATTTAATTCATTATCTGTAAAATGTCTCAAGGTAAAGCTAATTTTGTTTTTGCCTAGTTTGATTAGTTGCGGCAACCATCTTGAATAGGTTGTAGAGGTACATTCAGTGATTTATTTATTTTTTTTATCAGTGTTTCATTAAAATCCATTCACTGATTTATGACAAATTTTGCAAATGCTACAGACAAACCAACACACAAACACTGGTAAGGAAAAACAACAACAACCTTATCACCCTTATCTACAGGTGATAAAAATAGAAAACATTAAAATCAATGAGATGAAACCAACCTTCTACAATGGCCAAATAGGCGTTCCGCAAAGTTCCATTCAAGGACCCTCTATGTTTCTGCTTGTATGTTAATAAATTACCTGAACAGTGTAGGAACGTTTGATGCCATCGTTTGCAGACGATGCAATATTTTATGCATCTGCATCGACTCTGACAGGATGCAGAGCAACAAACAGGCAAATAGAGGGAGGGTCTAAACAAATTGTTTCCAACTGCACCAAAACAATCTCAAGGTGTTTTATAATCAGATGTCAATTATTTGTATGATTTCACTGCTCTCACTGATCATAAAGAAATCCAAAAAGTTTACTTTAGATGTAGCTTTTCTTGAAGGAATGCACATCGCTCACCATCTGTATGCCAGAAGTGTAGACCCAGATCATATTTTGTGAGAAATAACAAAATATGTGTTGTGTACAACTCTCAGCTACGACCACATCAAATTTTAGCACAGTTTCTGTAAAACTGACAGTTATAGTCATTTTTACATTTCGTAAGGTCAGCTGGCTGTGTTAGCCATGTTGACTTTGAGTGACCACTATCAGATGTAGATGTGCATCCAGTAATGACTTTCTAAATGTGTCACTGAGATACAAATATATAAATGTAAAAAATATGCTCAATATAAGAGTCCCCACATCAACACACCTAAATACAACTAGGAAAAGAAGCACAGCTGCTTGGAGAAGACTTAATGATCATTAACTGGAAGCAAAATATCCAAAAAATATTTGTAAACAAAAGCAGCGACATTGTTCATATAAAAACAATAATTTTATCTCTCCTTAAAAAAGACAACGGCAGAAGAAACAGGTCTCTCTTGTAAATGAGTCCCCGAGGCTCAGTGAGACTAACCTGTATAAATAAAGGTTGAATGAATGAAGGACGATGTTTTGACCTGCGTCTGTGTGTGTGTGTTTTTGTGTTTGTTTGTTACAAAAATATTTTGTGAACAACTGGACAGATTTTAATGAAACATTAATAAGTACTTCTTGTCACATTTGTAGATAAGTTGGACCCAAGAATGGAAGCAAGCACATGGTGAAGCTGGGGAACCAAGAACTGGGACTGATGAGAGAAATGGCTGCAGCTGTACCAGAGAAATAGGGAGCAGGTGTAAATGGGCGTGGCAGTCTGACTGGAAAAGTACTGAGGAACAAAAACTGAACACAAAGGGACAGAACAATGAACCAAAGAAACAGAAGAAGAAGAAAAATGCAAAACAGTAAACATAAAATCTTTCACAAAACAACTACAAAACAGACTGAGACACATCTAGAGCTGGTAAATATTTGGTTTACCCAGTCCAAGATGTTAGACCAATATTTGATATGGGAACGGTCAAGACAATAAAGTTCACACTTGACGGCTTGATAGCTCTTTTTTTCCCTATCACTGTGAAAAATGGTGTCTTTGTTGAGAGTTTAATATCGGTATTGGTCAAAAAGAAGACTAAAGAACATAAGTTCATCTTTTTTTACAAATGCAAAGTGTGAAACCAAAAAAAAAAAAAAAGTCCATTAACGTTCTCCTCTAATTATGAGATACGAAGAGGATCTCCCAACCCAAACATCTAAAAAAACACCAATTTAAAATATTTTTCTGCAAAACCTTAGAAATAAATTTGGAAAACAACCACCTAAGAGAACACACCTAAGTAAGACATCCAGGGTGCAGCATGCAGACCTCTCAGTAAAAGCTCTTATTGCACAGCTCTAGAGAAAAAAGCAACATCAAAGCATGTCAGCATGCAGAAGTCAGAGAGAAGTTTAAAGCACAGTCAACAGCAGTCTCATCCTAGTCCTGGTACTTTACAGGTTTGAAGTAAAAGCAACTCTTACATGTAGAGATGCTTTACACTTCTGTGTTTCAAAGCTCTTCTGAGTGCAGCAGAGCTTGTTTGTTGACTTGGCAGCACTGCTCAACTGGCTGAACTCTCCAACACATACCAGAACTGTCATGCACAGATGAATCACACTGACACTGGAAACTGAGCTTGAGCCCACTCAGAAATCGCGCAGCAGTGAAGTTTGCAAAAAGCAACATTCAGGTGTACTTTACCTCCTTTTTGCTGAGAAGCACTGAAGTGTGAGCGGTCCCGCCACAGGCTGTCCCATAGCAGGCGAGAAGGCACACAGCAGCACCAGACCCCCTCCAGATGTGGAGTGGAAGAGGGAAGGTTACCAAGAAGAAAGGCAGGAAAGAGTGAAAAGGAAGAGAGTTAGGAGGAGGGTAAGCTCTGCCCTGACTGAGAGCCAAAAACACAAATTCTTTCTGCTTTTCTCACATTTTTGGTCCTTTTGCCACGTGTTTTCTTATTGTTTCAAACACAAATCATAGTTAATCAGAACAAACATGTTGTGATATGTTTCTCCAAGTTTCCTTTGGGATTGTTATGTTTTTTCTTTTATAATTTAAAAAGCAATTATAGCATGGAAAAGCTCACTTTAGACAAACAAGCTGCTCAAAAGTAGCTTCCAGGTAAGCTTAGATAATAGTGGAGCTATTTTCTGGAGAAAAAAATTCACTTTTGTTCATAATTCGTCACCTTTTTCAGAAATGAATATTTTCTTCCTTTTTTTTAGACGTGTGGAGATTAGCTGTCCAATACTAAATGAAAAGGCGCAGCCTGCCAAAAGAGAGGCAACAGGATGTGATCTAATATTCAATGTGTTTCTGGATTGTATTTTATTCCTTTAAGTCCCGGGAACAACGGTAGACCAGCTGCTGTAGTTAAAATGTCCAAAAACCTCAGTAAGCTGGATTATAAAGCCTATTTTTAGGCTTTCTGTGCTTTTTATTGTTGTTTGCTTTTGCCTTTGATGTAAAATGATTTTTACGTGAGCATCACAGTTTGTGTTTTTGCTGTTAGACAAAGATGTCTTTAATTTCTTGAAGTCGTCTTCTTGAAGTCAAAAGCCACTTCACGGGTGTGATCAGTGGAACCATCAGGATCTGTCAAGACAGGAAAGGAGTTGTTTGCAGGAAATGTCATTTGAGCAGGTGTTGCTGCTCCTAACATGTACTGAACACCTGAATCTTCAGCTTACAGTCAGAATGAGCTGAAACAAAAAATGTAAAAAGCCTTGAAAGTAAAAGAAAAGTTTGGGACAGATCCAGACTGTATGCAAGAGTGTAGCTGGAGTTTGTTTACAACAACTACATGTGGGGTCCAGGTTGGCTTTGATCTTGGACAACTTGTCCTAGGACCAGTGCAGCCGGTGCACTACCTTGAATTGAATTACAGCATTTCTCAGACAGATTGACGATGAATAAATGTACTTAATGATCTTTTGCCAGATTGAGTCTGATATGGATTCCTCCAAGTCCATTTCCCATTTCAGTTTAAGAGAGACTAGACTGGTCTCATGGTATGAACTGAGCAGTGTATAGATATTGCTGAGGGCCCCCTTGGTATCAGACCTGCATTCTAAACTCTTAACCGCAAAATGTTTAGTGTGGTACAAAAGAAAACAATCAGAGTTAGAACTCACAAAGTGCCTCACTTGCAAAGATCTAAAAAAAACCTGTGATTTGTGAATATTAAACTTCTGTACCAGCTGCTCAAAAGAGGCAAAATTATCATCAACATAGAGCTCATACAGTGAGTAAATTCCCCTCAAGACCCAGGTGTCGAAAGCTGTATCAGATACTGAGGGAGTAAACCTGATTATTTGACACAGGTGCCACAAACAGTAACTCTGTAGAGTTAAATGCTCTCCTGAACTGGTTCCAGATCGTAAATGTCCAGATCACAATTGGGATACAAGTGTATGTTGATACTGATTGTTTAAAAGGCAACTGAGAGCAGATTAACATGAAGGGGGAACTGGATCTAACTGAGGTCTTCTCCAATGCCACCCAACTGGGAGAAGTATCCTTACCCAACCAGAACAATAGAGCTCTGATATTGGCTTCCCAGTAATAGAGTACGGATCGCTATCTAACAATGTCCTGCTTAAGGTTAGCCATGAGAGGTAGATAATTAGTTTTATAGACATTCTTATGATCTCCTGTTACCCAAATGCCAAGGTATCTACATTTTCTTAAATTAATTTTAAAAAGTACAGTGTCTAAAATGTTCTTTACTATCGAAGTCACAGGCATCTGCTCGCTCTTTTAAAGATTAACCTTATAGCTAGATTTTTTCCTGAATTTTTGAAGCAAAACAAGTAATTCAGGAATGCTAGTAAGAGGATCTGATATATATAAAAGCATGTCATTGGCATATAAAGAAACTTTGTGCTCTGTGCCCAATCAGTTTATCCCTTTAATGATGGAGTTTTGCCATAAAGCTACAGCTAGTGGTTCTATCGCTAACACAAATAGAAATGGTGAGAGCTTCTCACACCTAGATATAGAAACACATCAAAATGGAAGTCGGCATGTTGCTTCCCCCCCATCCAATGACATTAAACAACACACAAGTAGATTGTGTTCATTAATTAAGAGACCGCTGAAGGCAGTTATTAGAGTAAAAGGTGCTGAAGACAAATGCACGCTGCACTTTCAGATTTTTATTCTAAAGCATTTTTGGAAACTACGTATCATTTTCAACTTCACATTTATGAACAATTCTGTTTGGCTGCTGCTGTCCTGTTACTTGTTTACCTAAATAAATGATCTTGTGCTTCATAAGAATGAAGGATGGCCTCTGTAAACCCCGCCCCTCATGTGGTTTCCATGGTGAATCAAGGTAACGTGACTCCATTACTGATGGCTTTTTATTGTACTTGGGCACTTACGGTACTTAACTCAAAGATAAGATAACTAATTTATTGAACACATGGAAATCAGACGTTCTGCAACTCGAGGTCAACTCAAGCTTTACAGATTGACTCAGAGGTTGTTGAACCTTCTTTTCATTAAATGCAAGTTCCTCGGCTTCAGATCAGTCATTAACTATATGCATTTTGTGATGCATTCAAGATACAAATCAAACCTGGTACTTCATACAGTTTGTCACCTGATATCAAAACTTGCTTATAATTATCCATTGAAAGTTCTTCTTGATTTTCTTGTTTATAAACATCTGCTCATGTGCATGTGTTTCAATTGTAACCTTGAAACCAGAGATATTTACGAGACGTTGCAGTTAACCCTGTTATATAATCTAAAACACATAGAACAGCTTATCACTGACCTTCAAACTTTCAAAAAAGCAAAATGGGTCGACTTCTGTGTGTGTTAGCAGACTGTGCAATTCCAGCTGCAGCAGTTAGGTTTTAGGAAGAAAGGCTGCCATGTGTAGTCTAAAAACAAACAGTTTGAAAATTAATAATTTCTTTTTAGGTCCTATTTTTTTTTTTGCTTATGAGCTTAGAAAAACTGTTATGGTCATAAATGCAAAAGAGTCCAGATTTGTTATTTATTCTCATTCAGCACAACGTCAAAATTCAACTCTAACCTACATAGATTGTTCCTTCCTGCCCACAGCCATCAGCAACAACTCTTTAATGAAACCAGAATGATGAGTTACAACAACATTTAATTTTTCTTTGGCATTAATAAAGGTTTTTTTTTTATTGAATTGATTGCTACAGTCAAATGGATGTCCAAGAACTTGATGTCACGGGTCATAAAAGTGATTCTTACATTTAACTTGGAGGTTTTTCATTTAAGTCTGCATCAACATTTTAATAAATTACATTAATGCTGGATGGTGCTTTTGTGTTTTGACGCTTTATTGCAGTCAGGAATAAAGATGGATGAAAGGACCACAGAGGAAGACCCATGCCTTCTGAGCTGCTGTTTTCACACAGAAGAAAACAATCTGAGCTGGGTTTATATAATCAATTCCTTTCCCAACCTGAAAAAACAAAAACCCTGCTGTACATGCTCTCATTATTAGTCATGGTTTTATTTTGCAGTGTTTTTCCCCTACAAGGGTTCAATTCACTGCTATGTTTTTAAGAACTTTCCACATTCCCGGTCAAGCAGAACACTTTCCTACTACAAAAGACTTCCCATCAGTAGATCCACGTGACAGCCATGTTTTCTGTCATTCTGCAACGAACCACTCAGAACTGAAGGGAACACGGGATGGATCGGGTCTCTTTAGATCTTGGATTGATTTTCTAGAAAATATTGAAAACATTACTCTTTTTTTAAAGGAAGCCTAAAAATATTAATGTCTTGCACCGGCTGCTCTCAAGCAGCTACTCGTCAAATAGATGAAAACCTTCAGAGTCGAGTTTTTCCTTGTTTCGTGTCAGGATCTGTGTTTTGTTGTGAATTCTCAGTGAGTCCTATTTAGTTTTTCTCCCTCCTGTATATATTTAGTTATCACCAGTGTTTTCCCACTCACTTGGTTTCTGATCCTGCCCCTCCCGCTCTCACCTGGTCCTCACTGTCATTCCCCAGGTGCATGTCATCGTCCATAGTTAGTGTAAATTTAAAACCCTGTGGAATGAGCTTCATCTGCCAGTCATGCTCTGTACCCGTTTCTCCCCGAGTTCGCTACTTTTGTAAGTTGGCTGCCACGTCAGCTCTGTGTTTTTGATTATTTAAATACATGTTTCTTGTTTTTTATCCTCGGGTTCCTCATCTGCATCTGGGTTCAACACCTCAGAGCCTGATATTTCGTTGCATGGACAGATGTTTGTTTTGTGAATGCTTGTTGCTACTCCAATATCTCATCTGCCTGCTTGCTCCATTGCAAACTCAGCTTGTATACAGTGCAATCATCTTGCAGCAGATAATTGTGACCCAGCAGAGGCACAGAGAGAGATGAATCACTAATGCCTTACTCTGATTTATTTAGGTCAGGGTCACAGTGACATCAGAGCAGGAGGGTACGTCAGGAACATCATTTTACACCTGCTTAATCTAAAAACATTGCAGCATTTTAAATTCTGCTCTGCTGATTAAGTATTGCACTTCCTCATATGCAGAAGGCTGTCCAAGTGTATAAACAGAAAAGTACAAACAAACAAACAGAAATTAGCTGCTGAATAAACTCCATTCCACTTCTTTTATGAAACTGTAATAACTATAATAGATATTCAACAACTGGATTCTGCATAAAAAGTGTGTAAAATGCAGGAAAATTGAAATATTGTCACCTGCCACTGTTAGACAAATATATATATATA